AATTTCCATCATAAAATGAATATGAAACAGAATAAGAAAGAATGAAAATTATTTTTTTTTTATCATTAAATTCGTCACAATCAATTGTGATTAATTTAAAAATTTAAATAAATGATGCGGCGTGTAGCAGGCTTGTGGAAGACGAAGAAGATTTTGAAATATGCGGCAGAGTCTTAATGCCTCATCAAGTTCATGTTTAATAACCCGCATGTGAATTAATTTGTATCTATGCAGCGCATAATGTGGATGTGTTGGGTTGAATTTGTCTTATTATTCGTATAAATATGATGAAGTTGAAGGGTTGAGTGATGGTGGTGGATTTGCTCGGTGCTGTACACGAAGAGTGACCATTTTTGAGTAACACTTTTAAAAGATTAAAGGATTAAAGATGCCAAAAATACCACATAGAAGAGTTCGAATTCGAAGAATAAAATTTGGTCATTTAGGTTAAAATTTTGTCATCTAGGTTGAATTTTGTTCATCTAGGCTAAAATTTTATAATCTAGGCTAAAATTTGGTCATCTAGGCTTTAATTATTATTATTATTATTTATTTGTCGACGTTACCGTCCGGAAGAATTAGTATTTATACATGTTTTACTTTTTACATTGATTAGTGATAGATTTCATATCACTATGGGTGACGTAGAATCGAGGTTCTAATCTTCAAATCTAGGTTTCGATTAAATTCAGGCTCTCGTTTCAATCTTCTGTGGGCGTTGCGTGATACATTTCAGGTCCGTTCTGACAATATTCCATTCGTGGGTAATCTTGTAGCTCTCGTTCCTATTTCACCCGCTACACTTCAAGTTCCTGATCCGTTCCTTAATCCAACGTTGCCCAAAATGCCCAATTATGGCTTGATCTCGTACATTAAGCAGTCGAAGTATCTAAACTTCTAAAAAAGAACAAATTTGGAAATGGCTGGATTCAAACCGACGACCTTCGAGTTACCATACCAAATTTGAGCCAAGCGCCTTACCTTTTCTACTAGCAAGACACTTAACTGCTTATTAATTATTAATTTGATCGTATAGGCTGAAATTTGGTCATCTAGGCTAAAATTTTATCATCTAGCTTAAAGTTCGGTCATCTAGGCTAAAGTTTTGCCATCTAGGCTAAGGTTTAGTTTCCTAAGAACACTCTATATCAGTGGTTGCATACCTTTTTAAGCCGTGGCGCTTTTAATGGTAAACCACGACTAAAACTGTATTCAGCATGTAGTTCATGGGATTTCCTGAAGTTTGTCATAATTAGATGCAACAAAGTAGAGACAATTATTTAAAGCGGGATCGTCCGAGCAATATTATAGCTAATTGGTCGCATGAGAGACTATTTTTACGACACTTAATCAACCTATGCTTATCATAAGTGCATTCTAAACGTAATTTAATTTCATAAGAGACTGCCATTTCCAATATCACATCCAAGTCTTTAGCCATAAAACTCACCAACCCATCCCTCAACATATTCAAATGCACAATCTACAGTCCATCCCTATCAATATTTTATGCAAAAAAACTAATCCACATAAAAATATGAATTCTATCATTTTAATACTTTAAAAAATCACCCCCAAACCCCTCCTTAAAAAAATTATTCCACATATAAATCCATCCATAAGAATAACAAACACATCAGATAATGAAATTCATGTCTGAAATGCACAAAAAAAATTCCCAAAAAAAATAATTTTTCTCGTCTCTAATAAAATTCTAATCAAATTAAATTCAATTCAGTTCAATCTTAGTAATGGTGCAACTGTTCACAAAAAGCAGTCATCATAATTTTTTTATTATTATTCTTTTCCGATTCCGCATCTCGAGCTTGTGTATGTGCAAATTCTTATATCCACATACGATTCCAATATGTATTAATTTCATTCATTTTAAATGCAATACACAAAAAATGAGTAAAAAAATAATAATTTTTTCTTCTCTCATTTTTTACTCATTTCTGTTTCTTCTCTTGTGCTGCTGCATTGTGCCTCATTCGGCATGCATACACATATTTCATATCGATTTATTCTTCCTTCACATTCAATTTATTAATTGTGAAATGGGAATTAAAAATGCAAAACTGATTTTTTTTTTCTTTTGCTGCCCTTTCTTATTTCTTTTGTCATTGTTTTATGAAGGATAAATTTTTTTTATAATTTGATTTGATTATTAAATTATGAGATTTAGACAAGAAGGGGTTATGAAGGCTTATAGCAGAGCTGTTGACTGCAGTGTTGATACAAAGTTGTTTTTGCCCAGATTTAACCTTTGATCTAGCAAATTTATGCCTTTGCAGAGACACAAAAAAGGCTAAGTCGAAAAAAATTGCCTTTGCTTAAGTCCACCTTTTTTAAGTCAAGTGCTAGGTATCAACACTGATTGGCTGTTTGTGAGTGTGATTAGACCTTAAGCAGTTGGTATCTTGACTCAACGAGAGGCTGTCCTTAGTTCTAAACCCCTCAAGATTCTAGCTTTAGTGAGAATATCCTGTATAGGACAGTTGAATTAAATCAAACTGGACATTCAGAATATTAATTTAGAATACCAAATACTATGACAATGATCAAACTTAGTTTTCAATTTCACTGATCATCCAACTAACTTCCTTACTGTTGACATGTTCTTATCTGTTCGATCTGACTCTATTGCTAGCCTTGTCACCTGGTTTGCACAATTTGTCTGTCAGCAATTGATCTTCCAACTTGATAACTTATTAAATTAGCAATTAATCATAACCATCAAATGCGCTGTTCATTTATGACGTCCAGGTGGGGATCCACAAAATCACACCTTTTATCAATCGACCTTTTAAACTAAAGTAAGCTTTAAATCAAAAATCAGCAACTTACTATAGTAATTTAAGGAACAAAAACAAAACACAAAGAAGTAAAAAAAAATACAAAAGTCCTCGTGTTATTGATCAAGGGACATCAGCGCATGTTTGACGCAGCGATCAGTATTTGATTATCTAATTATTTTGCGTTCGTTTACAGATCATTAGACGATTAGAATATCATTAATTTTAGTGTAATTAACAAATAATTCCAATGAATGCTTATATAAAAAGGCTTTATTATTTAACAGTCAAAAAATAATTTGAAATTTTCCCGCTAAAAGTTGCACTACAAAAACATCAATTATAGTATAATTAATAACTTGTTGCAATGAATTTCCATACAGAAAAAGTTTATCATTAAACGGTTTTTTGAAATTCAAATTTTACAACGGCTAGAAAAAATTTGAAATTATAGAGGTAATGTTGAATTTTTTGAACGTACTCATCACGTGGTTTTGTTTATGAAATAAAAAACCATTAATTGCAGTATAGAAACACTGTTTTAAGACTTTTAACTGTTCGATTGGACAATAAACAATAGTAACGGAGCTAATAAAACAAACCTGAGCTCTCTACGATGTCTGGTTAAAAAGTTTTTCTTCGCCCGAACGAGCAGCCGAACGAACGAACGAACATTTCGCATTATTAAGCTCCCTTTTTGCATACAAGTATACAAAAATGCGCTAAAAATAGCAAAGAAATAATTTACATAAAACCAAAAGAGATTTATTTGTTATCGATTTAGCTATATCGAATAATAGCGACGATTGGGCTGTCTTGCTTTTCATTTGACCAGTAAACTACATGTACGACTAGATAGGAAAGAGTTAAGCATTTGGTGAAAGTAAGGCTCGTTGCTCAGCAAGAACTGCGTCCGGTTAACTTTGCGGTGCTTCACTACAGGCACAATTTTCAAGGAGCTGCTGAAGGAACCCTAAATCTCTTTAACATTTTGTCCACAAGATCACGGCTTGATCAATTGAATTTAAGAACTTTGAGATTTTTTTTAATACCATGATTGGTTAAAATGGTCAGAAGTGATTTAAAAGGATCAAAATTTGTTGAAAAATGGTAAGAAAATGGTACGACTTAGATTATCGAGCGCAGACAGAGGAGACTGAAAAGAATGGAACTTATATTTGGCATTTATTCAAGTAGTCGAATAACCTCCGATAGCTCAGTGCTAGGAACACGTGATAAGAACTTGTAGGACTTGGGATCGAGTCCTGTTTGAGATCTGCTATTCGAATTTAATCTTTTTTCTGTTTAACATCAAAAATTGATCGGTTTTTTGTTGCTATTTGTTCAGAACATGGCATTGGTCCTGAAAATAAGATTAAAAATCAGGAACATGTAGGATTAAAGGCGGGACTTTGTTCAAAAATGTGGGACTATCAAACTCAAAAGTGCGCAATCAGACATCCTAATTCAACATGACTGTATTGTGCCGCTACAGCTTCATACCACTAAAAAGCTATTTCCACATCTGCTGCCATCTTCGCCCAAGTCTAACAACCACCATCAACTCAATTCAATACTTTATAAATTACAAATGACGAGAAAGAAGTTCAAAAATCCCCTCAAAACTATAAAAAAGGTGGAAGTGAAATGCAAATCACTTTTTAAATGCCATACATGCATGAACGTTTACTTTGTTGCCATACGCGTGTACAATTGTGCAAATATATCATATCAAATGAAATGTAAACCGAAGGGAACTAAAGCATTTGTCTCTTCTTTTTCCAATTCTCACTCGATTAGAGACAATAAAATTCTCAATTTCACATTAAATTTTCAAATAAAGCTTATTTAATTGTGATCCAATTTGTCGTGGCGGGAAAAGTAGTAAGGTAGAAAGTATTGCATTGCATTTGACTAATTTATAATGAAAAATGATATGTTTTGACATTTAAATTTGATTGTTTATTTTTATCGAGTTGAATAATTGTGGATTTAGCTTCTTAGGATAAGTTTGACGTAGCAAGTTCATTCACATACTTTTCTTATATGATTCCACTGAATATGAATTATTTAAAAATAGTTCTTATTAATTTGCCATATTATTGAGTACCTATGAACACAGGTGTTTTTATCCCTACTTTAAATAATTTGATGTCTGTTTTATTGCTTGGTATAAATTTGTTCCTCGTATTTTTTGCATCAGTTAAAATTTTTTTCTGGTTGAGTTCGCAACTTTTTTTAAAATGAATTATTCAAATTATAAGTTATGGAAAAATTATTCTTTTTCCAAATTTTTCATAATTTTTTTGCTGTGTGCATTGATTCTTCAAAATGGTAACGTTGTAAACACTCATACAGTCGATGTAACATCGGACCCATCAACTTCAACAACTGTCCAAGAAACCACAACTTTACATCCTACACCTTCAACAACTGTCCAAGAAACCACGACATCAGATACAGAGACTTCAACAACTGCCCACAAAACCACAACTTCGGATCCAACAACTTCGGATCCATCAACTTCAACAACTATCCACAAAACCACAACTTCGGATCTAACAACTTCAACAACTGTTGAAGAAACCACAACTTTGCATCCTACAACTTCAACAACTGTCCAAGAAACCAAAACATCAGATACAGAGACTTCAACAACTGTCCACAAAACCACAACTTTGGATCCAACAACTTCAACAACTGTTGAAGAAACCACAACTTTGCATCCAACAACTTCAACAACTGTCCGAGAAACCACAACATCAGATACAGAGACTTCAACAACTGTCCACAAAACCACAACTTCGGATCCAACAACTTCCACAAATGTTGAAGAAACCACGACAACAGATACAGAGACTTCAACAACTGTCCACAAAACCACAACTTCGGATCCAACAACTTCAACAACTGTTGAAGAAACCACAACTTTGCATCCTACAACTTCAACAACTGTCCAAGAAACCACGACATCAGATACAGAGACTTCAACAACTATCCACAAAACCACAACTTCGGATCTAACAACTTCAACAACTGTTGAAGAAACCACAACATTGCATCCTACAACTTCAACAACTGTCCAAGAAACCAAAACATCAGATACAGAGACTTCAACAACTGTCCACAAAACCACAACTTTGGATCCAACAACTTCAACAACTGTTGAAGAAACCACAACTTTGCATCCTACAACTTCAACAACTGTCCAAGAAACCACGACATCAGATACAGAGACTTCAACAACTATCCACAAAACCACAACTTCGGATCTAACAACTTCAACAACTGTTGAAGAAACCACAACATTGCATCCTACAACTTCAACAACTGTCCAAGAAACCAAAACATCAGATACAGAGACTTCAACAACTGTCCACAAAACCACAACTTCGGATCCAACAACTTCAACAACTGTCCAAGAAACCACAACATCGGAGACAACAACTTCAACAACTATGCAACAGTTGCAAAAAAAAAGTTGGAGCCATAAATTATTCAACAACCTTCAAAATTTGATTGAAAAGATTTTTAAAATTTAATTGTTTTTTTCTGCTTCTATTGACGTTAATTGTCTGGTAATAATTGTAAAAATCGAGTCTAAATGCATTTTAATTTGTTTTTTTTTTATTTTTGTAGGATCCATTTCATAACCTTCAAATCCAGGCTGTTCTAATAACCACAAAAGATAGATCCAACAACGCAAGGAACTTCATAAAATCCAAATTAAATATTTTTTCTCATAAAAATTTGACACATAAAAGCTGTTGCATTCTTTGCAGCTAACGAGATGCGGCACACAAAAAAATAATTCTCTCACCATTAATCTATCGCTTCGCACTCGTTTCAGCATAAATTTATAATAAAAATGAGGAGTTGAGGATAACCAATAATTTAAACATTATTGTTAAACATCGAATTTTATTGATGACCACTTATTATCACTTTATTATTATTATTATTATTATTATTATTATTGTTGTTGTTGTTGTTGTTATTTAAAAACACACATTTTTTTCTGTGCTGTTATTCTGCTCATCCACAGTTGCACATTTAAATATTCTTTTTTATAATATATTTTTAAAAATGTGAACATAACATTATTGCTGTGTATAACAACAACAACAACATGAGTGAGAATGAGGATGAAAAAAAGGTGTTAAAAATAATTTCCACGTGCGTTTGTACTTTTTTTTAAATAAATTATTTTTTTTTAAATTTTCAAACTTACTTCTTGATTGTTTGCCATTATTTTTTACATATATTTTATATGCAGGGTCAATCATAAGTTTTGTCAAAATTTTGAAAATAGCAGGGGTTCGCTGTAAAATGGCATAGGGTTTAAGTGCCAAAGGTCCTGGGTTCAATCTCAGACCAAGTCAAGTTTTAAATGCTCTTTTTCCATTTCACGGTTCTAGTTCCGAAGCTCGGTTCGTGTATTGGGTGTAGTTTTGAGGTCTTTGGCACAGAATATGCCTCCTTTGCTAGGTATACAAGGATATACTAGCATCTGGATGACTTCCTTATGGCATCTTGCGCACACGAATTGTGACTAGGTACATTGCATCGTGCATCAGGTCTATTGACGTCCTCGTGTCTTTGCAATGAGCTGAGCTTGCAAGTGGTTTGCATTCCACTTTAAATTGCAGGTGTCAAATGTTGTTGTCCAATAGATTCTTTACAAATTGAATCACAGTGCCTCCAGCTGAAAAGCTGGGCCCTTTATACATTATTATTACTAAATATAGAGATGGAGGATGATAAGTACCAACTAGAGCTCAAAATCTACTCTCAAACGACTCAACTACTCACAAAATTTTATCGGCTTCGAGCAGAATTAAGGCCAGAATGGTCATGTGCATAAGAGCTAAGCAAAGTGGTGGGGGGGGGGGGGGCAAGTAAAGCAAGGTAAGTGGAGGATTTAAAGGGCAAATATTTGTACATTAATAGAACTTTTTTCATTTTGCTAGGGTTTTTGGAAAAAAATCGAAGATTCATCTTAAATTTCCCAAACAAAAAACACATTGCCCCCTTTAAAATATTAGAATGATTTTAAGCCAAAAAACTTTTTCATCTTTACCCTTAAAATATCATTGAATGCACCAAAATTGGCACAAGTTGATTAATTGAATATAAATCTAGTGCCAAGTCTGAATGACTCTAGCATTGTGCTGGATTCGATTTAAATCCAACACCACGCTAGAGTCACACTAGCTTGGTGCCAGATTTCTGATCGATTAACCGACTTGTGCTATTCGGGGCACATGATTATCATTCGACCCCTGTTTGAACTGAAACTCATTAGAAAAACTTTTCTTTTTGAGCCAATTTGACCACAAAAAAGTGGAACTTACTGCTTTTTCTTCTTACTTACTTACTTCCTTGGCTATGGCGAACGTTGGACCATTGCTGCGCTTAGAGAATGTCCAAAGACAGCTTTATCCTTAGACATCTTTTGACAATTCGGGATATAACCAATCAAAGAGCTTCTTCTTCTAACAAATTAATTTTTGAGGGGGGAAACAACATTTTTCGCCTCAATTTTCCAAACAAATTTTGGTTTAAAAAAGGTAAAAAATTTCCCTTCAAAAACTTTCCCCTAATGTTGTTCTCCCCCCCCCCCCCCCCCCCCCCCCTCGATAAACTTTCAATTTGTTATCCCAGCCTGCTTTTTTTATTCGACTTGAACAACAACAGCACTCGACCAACAGAAAACTTGCCCTAAAGGTGAAAGAGCAACTGGAATCGACCAGCAGTGTAATATTAATTCAGACACACACACACACATACACAAGTAAAATATGATGAGCGAGGTGCGAGTGGTTTATTTAAATAATAATAATGTTAAACATAATTTTATAGCATTTTAAATATTTTTTTTGTACTTCTGCTGTTACCAATGACTTGCTGCAAAATGTGCGGTTTGATAAAAATTATTAAAACCTTTTTTTTTGTGACGGTGTGAATTACAAATTTAATAAAATTGAGACATTCGGGGTGTGAAGAAATGATTTTTTTGGTGTTGAATTTATTGGAAATTGTTTTTTAAAATTTAATTATTTTTTGGTTGATTTTGTTAAAATTATTTGATTAAAAATTTTCAAAAAAAAAGCAATTACTCCAATTAAATCGATGGTTTTTGATTTAAGGCGGTGGATAAAGTTGTGTCACACTTTTATCTAGTGCTGGTTGAACTATGAAGCACGTTTAAGTATGTTGGATTCAAATTCATAAAAAAAAGTCATTTTGTCCCTACCATGTCCCTAAAGCTCAACCAGTGTTGCAAATGTAGATGTCTACACTAGATGAAGAATGTAGATTCTTCAATAGTTTTTGTCTAGCTAAGAAACTTTCTTCATAAAGATCGATTCTTCATGTAGAAAGAAAAAAAACCATCTACATGTAGATTGTGTCTACATGTAGAATCTGTCTACATGTAGATTCGATGTAGATGTCTATAATTCTACATTTTTTTCCAGGTCTACATCAGAGAAGAATGTAGAATCGTAGACATCTACATTAAATCTACATGTAGACAGATTCTACATGTAGACACAATCTACATGTAGATGGTATTTTTCTTTCTACATGTAGAATCGATTTTATGAAGAAATTTCTGTCTCAGAATTTATCTGATCCAGACAAATAGCCAGAATGCAACACTGAGCTCAACAAAACAAAATTATCTTCTCAATTCTCTCAAATTTCATTTTAAAAAATATCGAATAAATAAGGGGCCATTCACTTATTACGTAACGCTTTTAGGGGGAGGGGGGGGTCTAAGATTTTGTTACGGTTCAAACAAGGAAATTTTTTTTTCATACAAATTTTGTTACGATGGAGGGTGGGGTCTAAGAAGTCATTTTTTCGCGTTACGTAATAAGTGAACAGCTCCTAAGAATCAACAGCAAAAAAAAATAAGAACTGATGTTCATTATGCTGCAACATTTGCATGGTGGGTAACTTCATTAATTAATGACCATAAGAGCAACTGTTACGTATTCGTGAATAAGTAGTTTGTATGACATAAGTATGGTGAAATCCAATTTAAATATGCAAAATGAGATGGGAAAGAAATGCAGGAAAATTGAAGCGTTCTGATCGGAGCGAAGTTAAGTTCGAGGGATAAGAAAAAAGGGGAGAAAATGTTGACTTGGCAATTTTTGTTACTTTCTATATGCATGAATCATGAGTTTTAGTGGCTCGGTTGTGGAATTGTTAAGTCCTTCGGTACCTAGTTATTGCAAAACCGACACGGCTATCATGGCATCGAGACTGGGTATGAGAAATTTTTCACTTCTCATTTTTCGAATCACATGTACTAGAAATGAGGCTCACAGTCTTCATTAGTAGTCTAAAGGTAGTAATGTCATCAAAGGAATTGTTTGGATTCCACTAAAAACTGTAAGTCTAGGTTTGAGTGCAGTGGTTTGGCGCATCCTCAGTTGGGTGACCATCTGCGTAGTTTTACAACGGACAGTCCTGTATTTCAAAACCCTGTCCTGCATAAATTTGAAAATTTTGTTCCAGGTCCTGTATTTTTTTCACGAAAATTTCCGTTAATTTTCAAATTTTCCTTTATGTCCTGTATTTTTTAGGAAATTTATCAAATGTCCTCTATTTTCATAAAAATTAGACGGTCACCCTAATCCTCACTCATTAAACTCTCATTAGCTGTGAATCATCCTAGCGCAGCTCTGGATCAGAATTGATTTGCATAGGTAAAGATTTTTTAATGTGAAGGAATAGCATGAGTTGGTCAATCGAATGGACCTAGCTTTGATTTAAATCCAGCATCACATCTGAGTTACAACGGTTTGGTGCTAGATTTTCATTCCATTAACCGACTTGTGCTATTTTGGATAAGCTATCAGCCTTTTAGGCTGGTTTTTATGAATGATTCTGACACGAAGTTACAGTTTCTGAGAAGAATTTGGGAGGTTTGGTCAAATATGACGTTTTGCATTTCTTTGTCAAAAATTCAAGGCAAGGAAAGAGAAATGCTCGTTAAGATGAGGTTGGATCAACCTTCTGCTAACTCAAACGCTACCTTAAAGGAGCTGCATTGATCAATTAAGGATTGACCAATTTTAATCATTTTTATCAGCTCGTTACTTGTAAATCACATCTTATCAGCCTCAAGAACCAATTTTGAAGACTTTTGAGGATTTAATACCCTACCCAAAGTCAATTTTTGCTTAACAGCAGAATTAGGACATGAATGTGCTTTACATGACCAGACTGTTCCTAGTTGCCAAAGCAAAAGACCCCTGAATAGACGATTAGCTTTGTTAAATCATCTAAAAAAAACATATTTTATTCAAAATTCCAAAAGAATCAACTTCAGTTCCAACCAATTCAATCAATCCACGCTACATCAGACAAAAAAAATTTAAATAAATTTCAATTATTCTCGAATAAAACAGAAGTCAAGAAAAAGAAATAATAAAAAAATCTTCATGCATTTTGCATTATTTTGCCTCATTTCGAGATACTTCCTTGGCTAATGAAGGCCAAATTGACAATGTGTGGTCATGTAGATGTACAAAAGTCGAAATAATATGGAAATTTGTGTGAATGATTTCATTTTAAACATTGCTTAATACTTTTATTTTTTTTCCAGTCCTACTTCATAGCCGTTTTGTTGTTGCTGTATAAATTTCGATTGAAATCATTATCGATGAGCTGCTGAATTTTAAATTGTATTGACAAGCGTGTAATTTGAATGTTTTTTTGATGATTATTGGGAGACTTGAAGAAGGTTTTGTGATCGAAAAACGAAGACGGCCCCACTTATGACGTCCAGGGAGAGGGGAGGGGGGGGGGGGGGGTAAAAATGACCGTTAATTTTGGACGTCATAAGTGAACGACCTCATAGATGAATTTTAGATTTTTCATGAAGACCCTAGCAAAATGGAGAAATTTCTGTTGACTTTAGGGATTTGTCACCCAAACTTCCTCTCCCCCCCCCCCCCTCCCTCCTCTGGCTGCACGAATCCTCCTCTCGGATGTGTTAAATACTACACCAATTATATCAATTGTACATAATCGTAGCTAAAGCTTCTCCACCTCGCCAATAAAATCACCAACTTCATTACAAATCATCCTTGTCACACAAAATTCAGACACGACCCATTTATTCAGTGTGAAAAAATAAATTAGAAAATCAAACGAGATCATCATCATATCCAATAAGCAATCATCATGACTGGCTCAT